GAAGTAGACAGCAGGTTCAGATGGAAGGACAGAAATGGTTGGCCAACCACCAAACATGTGTTCCTAACACTATAGTGTACCAACAATCAAATGGTCACTGAAATCCAAAATGAATGAATAGCAGAGTTCAATTATGCTAAAAGTGCCTCTAGTGGCTGCCAGGACAGCCACTAGAGGCATATTAGCCCTGATAGGTAAACATTGCCATTCCTACAAAATTACAATGTTTTCAGTTGCAGGTTTAAACTGACAGGGACACTGCATCCAAATAACATTGAGCTGTAGTTATCTGGGTGCCTAGTGTCATGAAATGCCATTTTAATTAATGGTTTCTTCAGAAAACATCAAGCATGAGACTCAGTGAACAAGTTCATCTGTATGAACTCAATAGGATATAAAAATAAAAACAGACAATCAAGTGAGAAAGAACAAAAGTATTTCATTGCATAAGTAGTGTCACATTTTTAACATACTTTAAAAATATATCTGAATAAGCTATAAACTATTTTTTTCTTAATGCGTGTATGAAGACATGCTTTTAAATAACCAGCTATTGCTGATTATCCCAAGACTCTAGTCTTTCAGGCAACAACTAATGTTCTATAGAGGTATATGCAATAATTTCCTGTATATGTTGAGATGGCATGCCCAGGCTTATTAATTTGTTGGTGGAATCAGCAAATTGACAAAAGTGTGCAGAGTAAACATTAGCAGAGTTGTATTTACTTGACTAAAATAGTAAACAAAGACCATATGTGCAAGTGAGAGTACATCAGGTTTCCTAAAGAATTACCAATAATTTTGTTTGAAATAAGATGAATGGTGTCTGCAAGAATTCTATCCAGGGGTTTCTCTAAAAGACAATGCTGACCAGGCCATCCTGTGAGGGATCTTCACCTTCTAGAAGAAAAGGCACCGTGTGAAGTTTTTGTGAAAACTTTGACCACACATAATAAACCAAATAATTGGTGTTAATTTCTTCACGTATTTAAAATGTCCTTTTAAAAACCATTAATAGTACACTGTAACTGCTTCCATATTGTCCCATGTGTTTGGTTCTGTTTGCTTTAGAGACACATGCAATTAAAATTATTAACCTTAGTGGGACAATAGCCATTAAATTAAACAGTCAAATAAAATCTCTGGGGGTTTCAGGTAAGAAGTGAAATGCATATTAAAAACAAAAACAATATAATATCATTTTGCACTCTATGCATGTAATTAAGGCAAGAATTGTTACCCAAGCTGCATCTGTTTCATAATCACTTCAGTTTGAACAGCCGTCTAACTGCGGAGGCGGCCCTGGATTTCATAGCAATGCCTTCACTCTTGCCAGACAGCTATATGACAGTGCACTGAGACAGGAGTACATATGGCAAGCTAGTGGTACACCAGCCCAAGAAAACGATCACTAAAAGATAAGACAGACCCCCTCCAACACAGCAATATGAACAAAAAGCACAGCACCTGTTTCACACATACTTTATATACTGCATTGAAAATATGCAAATAGCCCACGCTGAAAGGGCATCAATGCCACAAAAACCCATGGTATTTCAAGCCAGACAGGTTCAACATTTTCTACACAGAACATATCTAATAAGGAGTGGCAGACAGCTTTAGCTTATTCGGATTTATAAAATAAAATTTAAAAAAAATCAGCAATATAACATGAAAAGTATTTAAGCCACTTATCGTGCCTTCATTATCACATTAAGTAATTCTTTACAGTAAGACGCATTTAGGCGAGTAGTTAGAATTGGATAATGAAATAATTCAGAGAAAGTTAACATGCTTTATTTGTCAAGCAATTTCACAATAGAAACCACAAGCTAAGTTTCATCCACATATACAAAAAACTAAAACATCAATACTTTCACATGTTATATGGCACTTTCAAAACCAAAAGGATTACCAACGAATTATGTACTTATTAAAATAAATTCTAACTTTTCTTTATCAACTCAAGGTTTTGAGTATTTATAAACAAAAAGACAGGTACGTTTGAACCACAATCACACTATCCGCCCACAAACTACAGCTTATTAAGCTGTCAACACACTAGTGACAATAAAATGGTGCCCCATCTAGTCTGCCCATTATGAAAATGCACAATGACTGCTCTTTCCATGTGATTCTCTAACCTAGCTCAACGTCTAATTATTCGATATCTGTACTACTTCCACTGGTTAACCTATATAAAAAGCATCAACTATTCGTTGTATTAAAATAAGGAAAAATGAACATTGCGTCCACATACCACCTAAACTGATGTACCTTGAATCTTCTGCATAGCACAAACTTGAATTGTATCAAATGAAGGATCCCAAGTCTATCAGCACTGATAACTAATCAGAGTTACTCCAGCTGCTGTGGACTAGGTTTCCCATGATGCTCAGCTTCGCCAGAAAGGTTGTCCACAACCTTGAAGTGGAAATAGTAATTACTAGGGTATGCTGACCCTGCAAAACCTTTGCCTCTCGAAGTGCTAAACTAAAAATGCAGATCCAGAAACGTGACAGATCGTGTTGTGTCACCATCAGGAGGGCTGTGGCAATTAACTGAACAGAGGACACCTATAGAGGATCCAGACTCACCAGTCTGCCTGCACACAGAGTGCGCACTCACTCACCAGTCTGCCTGCACACAGAGTGCGCACTCACTCACCAGTCTGCCTGCACACAGAGTGCGCACTCACTCACCAGTCTGCCTGCACACAGAGTGCGCACTCACTCACCAGTCTGCCTGCACACAGAGTGCGCACTCACTCACCAGTCTGCCTACACACAGAGTGCGCACTCACTCACCAGTCTGCCTACACACAGAGTGCGCACTCACTCACCAGTCTGCCTACACACAGAGTGCACACTCAGTCTGAATACACTCATTTACTAGAGCCCACACTCAGCAATCTGCCTGCACTCACACACTCCGCACAGAGAGCTGGAGGAGCAGCCATTCCCCCGCCTGCACTCACCAAGGGTCGAACTCGTGGATGATGCTCTCGAAGCGGATGACGGCGAACAGCCTGGAGCTGAATCCGGCCAGCCAGGCCAAGAACAGGATGGTGAAGGAGAGCAGGGACTGCCAGCCAGCCGGCTGCGACAATCCCCCCGATAGTCCTCCATGGGAGTGCACCCCCACAGCGCCGCCGGCCGCCTGTCTCAGGGCGGGGGAGGAGGCCCCGGAGTTGGCGATCGCCGCTTTGTGCTTGTTCTCCAGGGCTGCATGCTCCGCCATGTTGGATTCCCCGCCGCTCCTCCTCCTCCTCCCGGGGTGGGGGTGTGTGGTGGGAGGCGGGAGAGAGGTAGGGGGGGTCTGGAAACGTTCGGTGACGGTTGGCGGCTCGGGGACGGAAGGCGCGTGCTTCAGCTCACAATGTGACCGACCCCTCGCTACTTTACTCCGCCACAGCCTCCCTGCCTCTCCCCGCGGGTCTCACTGGCTTCCAACGACCCGCCGTCCACATCCCAGTGTGGGAATTAGTCTGAATTAAACACGCCGTCCAGAGCCGGCTACCGCTCCTCCGCTCTATGAGGAGAATGACATTTCCTATTCAGGGCTGAGCGAAAGGGGCGGAGCTTAAACCGCCGACCCCCACCCACTACCTTACCAAACCTAAACTGCCCAACCAATTACGGACCGACAGGTACATAGCAGGCGGGGTTTAAAGCCAGGCTCGCGCCTCTCGTACCCACGCGATCGCCGTGCCACGCCTCTTTTTTTCTTTCTTTCTCTTCCCTTTTCTTGACGACATTGAAAAAAAGGGGCGGGGTTTTCCTTCTGTCGGAATACTTCGCCGTAGGCCCGCGGCACGTGCTGTCAGTTGGAATGGAAGGGTGGGCGTGAAGCGCAAAAGAGGCTTGATTGACTGCTGTTTACAGCCAATGGCTGAGTCTATGCTTGCAGCACCGGTGGGCGGGGCTTTTTCTTGCCACTGCACTCGGGAGAGGGGGGGTGAAAGAATAATAAATAAAAAAAATCGCGCTTGGAGGTGGGCGGGGTCAGATGTCTTCTCCTTAGCCAATCGTTTGCTTCCAAGCGTTTGCTGCCAGACCAGGAAGTGTTCTAGCTTGGGAAAGTCGCGCTGTATTGTGGGCTTTAGTCACTAAATGTCCACCTGTGGTGACATAGCTCTATGGATTGATTCTCCATCCCAGCTATGGCTGCAGTATGGCTCTTCTAGCCTTCATTTTGCCACTCTGGTTTCAATTCACTACAATACTATGTTTATATTCAATATATATATATATATATATATATATATGGGCAGCTTTTTGCACTTCAGATGTTGTGGACGACCATCTCCCATAATGCGGTAAAAGCTGTAATGCAGGGGGTCCTCAAACTCCGGCCCCCCAGGTGTTGCTGAACTACAACTCCCATGATTCTCTGGCTATCTATGTAATTCAGAGAATCACGGGAGTTGTAGTTCAGCAACATCTGGAGGGCCGGAGTTTGAGGACCCATTCTGTAATGCTAGCAAAGCATCAAGGGATATGTAGTCTACGCTATCTGGATGGCCGAAGTTTGCCTACTCCATATATATATATATATATATATATATATGAGATTTATGGGCCTGCTGATGTGTTAAACATGCCTGGGGACATTGACAATGACCATACAGCATGGCTCAGCACTTTATTTGGAAGCACAGGCTTATTGGAGCTGTCATTGTACACGGCAAACGCAGGCTGCATCCCTCATCCATGTGCAGGGGGCAGCAGCATGATTTCTATATAAACCCTGCTGCACACTGCTATCCGTAAACTGGAATTATCTTTGGCAAGCGTTCAGTGACATCTCTTAGGATTAAAATCTTTACTGCCAGCCAGCAGTTGCCCTGATTTTATCGCATAAAAAACCACGTAGAGAGAAAAACAACCAAAGGAATTGTAAATGTTAATCAATATAGTTAAAATGAAGGGTGGGAAATCCACAATTTAGGTTTGTTTGTTTTTTTTATGCCCTAAAATTCCCACTTTTCCTTGATTAGTGTGAATTGTTGGGAATTCAAAGACGATTTAAATTTCAGACCACAATATCCAAACTATTAAAATTTTCAGCTATGCTTACAGTTTAGGTATTTTGGCCTAAAATTAGAAATTTACTGAATTTCTGATAATTTTTAATTGGTTCTATTGATGGTACACAGAGTTGCAGTGAACTGAAAATTCAAATGTAAAATGTACGCTAAAATAGCCGAAGTTTGACTATGGCTGAGTAAGAGAGGTTTTGCAAATCATCTACGTTGTGTGTCAACCAGTTTCTCATACTGAAGCCCATGGAGCAACACAGGAGGGGAGTGGGCCTTGACAGGGCCAGAGAGTTGGCAGGTGAAGTTAAGGTCAAGGGGTGTGGAAAAGTAATGTCTGGACGGGGGGGGGAGGAGAATAAGGGTTTAAATAACAGCCAATTTGGTGAGCTGGCCTTTTTAATCAAAATCACACTTACTTGATACTTGTCAGGTTTGTGTGGTCTGTTCTTTTTCTTGCAGGGATGGCTTCTGCCGAAGAAATCTTGGCTGGTGTGAGAAGAATGGTGGAAGAGAAGGGGATGGCGTGGCTGCAGGATCAACTGGGGTCCCGAGCACGTCTGCTCCCCCCACTGCGGTGTCGGAGAGGAGGCCGACCAGGAGGGCACGTCCGCCCCAACGACTCAGCCCGGGAGCACCGCCAGCGGCGAGGAGGAGGAGGAGTCCAGCGCGCCAAAGTGGGGAAAAGGCGGCCCAGGCGGAAGGACGGGCCTCAAGAGTCGGAGTGCGCCTGGCGGGCGCTAGTCGGAAGCCCGCTGGTGGGAGAAGGCCCCGCCGCAAGTCTGCGGGCGGGAGGCAGAAGGACACGGCTGGATCCTGTACAGCTGGGATGGCATCCAGGCAGCAGGGCCGTGATGGTCCGGAACTTCAGCGCCCCGGTGAGTCCGCCCCTAGTGGCGATACTGAGGGGCAGGAGGATGGGGTGCTTGAGGACAGCTCGACGCCAGCGCCCCCTCAGGTGACAGGTGGAGAGGCAGATGGCAGGTCAGGGACGGGCTTAACCCTCACAGGGAATAGGTCCAGGACAGGTAGCGGTGACAGGGGCAGCAGCGTCTCCGGGCAGACGGGAATTGCGAGGGGGGGTGAATCCCTGCCCTCAGGAAGTTGCCGGGATGAGAGGAGAGGAGACGGCAGGTCAGCGACAGGAGGTTGCAGGGACATGGAGGAGCCGCAGGGGCTGAGGAGGAAGGAGACATGCAGAGGGGTCAGAGGCGAGCGGGAGCCCCCTATGGGCCGCTCTCAGGCGCAGCAGGACAGGAGCTGGGCCAGGAGGCGAGGAGTGAGTAGCGAGCGGCGCAGTGAAGGGGACAGGAGCAGCACCCAGAGGAGGTCAGCAGAGCAGGGGAGGAGCAGGGACAGGAGCCAGTCCAGGAGCCACCGGAGCAGGCAGAGGTCATGCACCAGGGAACGGAGGCTAAGATGTAGGCGCAGTGCTTCCAGTTCATCGGGCGGGAGTTTAAAGGACCAGCAGAGGAGGTCTTACAGCCGGGACGGTCAGGCAGCGAGACAGCGTAGCGATAGTGACAGGAGGAAGGAACGCCGGGAGGAAAGGCGGGTAGGACAACACGTGGACAGACTACCCAGGTTATATTTTCCCGGCAGGTCGAGGAGCGTGACACCTACGGTCCCGAGGAGAGGCCAGGCGGAAAGGAGTCGGCGGCAACAGGAGTCTCCGGAGCCTGAAATGGCGGACGGAAGGACAGCAACCCTGCGGCCGGCCACGGTCGGGGGCACTGGCGGTGAGTCACGAAGTACACCACACACTGGGTCCTTATTGGGTTGCTTAAAATCTTTCATTAACTCCTGGGCGGGAGATGAGGGGTCAACCCCGCAGTTTGGTAGGGTATGGTCGCCAGAGGACGGGGGAGATAAAGAACAAGGGGCGGAGAGGATGGTGACACACAAGTCGGGTGCCGTCGAAACGGGGGACGGTGAGTCGGGAACCGGAAAGGCAGTCGGGTCTGGCCAACAGGTGGTCGGGGGTGGTGAGATAGCGGACGTGGCACGGCAAAACGTGCATGTGTCCTTCGCGGGACCACTAGGATGTCACCTGAAAGCGGAGGTAAAAGAAAAAATTGGGAAGGGGGAATTCATGGAAATCTTCTCCTTACTTCCACTCGAGGAATTTCTCGACTTGAAGGAAGAGGATAAGAAGGACGCTAAAAAAGAAGAAGAGGAGAAAAAGCGGCGGTATCGGAAGATACCCAAGACTTTTGGGAATTGGCTCAGAGCCTTCTGTATTTTGGCGAGCGTAGTCGGGGAAAAGCACCCAGAACGATGTTCGCAGCTGTTTTGTTATTTGGACGGGATAGGGGACGCTTACAGGACTTATGGGGGATTAGCATGGTGGCGGTACGACGAACAATTCCGCCAACGGTTGGCAGCGAATCCGAGTATGAGGTGGGATCAGATGGACCTGCCTTTATGGATGAGAATAATGATGGCCCAGAAAAATGCGCCCTTTCAAGGGACGGCCGGTACGGCCACGGGAAGCGCTGTACCGGCCGGACAGAAGAAGGGGTTCTGTTGGCTGTTCAATGAAGGGCAGTGCAAATGGGGGGCATCGTGTAGATTTAAACATGAATGTTCCGGATGCGGGGGAAATCATGGAGTCAACAGGTGTTTTAAGAAAGGAAAATCTAACTTCGGGGGTGCAGCAGGGACAACAGCCACGGCGAGGTTCTTATGGCGGGGGTTTACAGAGGGTTTTGTTATCCCATTCAAGGTCAAAGGTCCGGGAACCATGTGTGCAAACCTTAAATCAGTCCGGGACCACCCGGGGGTAGTGCGGGAAAAATTAATGAAGGAAGTCCAGATGGGGAGGATGGCGGGGCCGTTTCCGTCCCCGCCGATAGAAGATTTAAGGGTGTCTCCGCTGGGGGTGGTCCCTAAAAAGGAGGAAGGGAAATTTCGCCTGATACATCACTTATCGCACCCACGGGGGTCATCGGTAAATGATGATATCGACGCGGCGCTGTGTTCCGTATCCTATGCATCATTCGATCATGCGGTCGAGTTGGTTCGGAGAGCGGGACACGGTGCACTGATGGCAAAGGTGGACGTGGAAGCAGCATTTCGGCTGCTCCCCATTCATCCGGGTTGTCACCACCTTTTGGGGTGCTTCTTCGAAGGGGGTTTCTTCATAGACCTGTGTTTACCGATGGGCTGTTCCATCTCGTGTTCCTATTTTGAAAAGTTTAGCACCTTTTTGGAATGGGTGGTACGACGGGAGTCGGCTGGGGGATCAATCGTGCATTACCTCGATGATTTCTTGTGTGTAGGGCCGGAAGGATCTGAGCGGTGTGGCCAGATATTGAGGGTGTTTCAATGGATAGCACACTCTTTTGGGGTTCCTTTGGCAGGGGATAAGACGGTTGGCCCCACCTCATGCCTTAGTTTCCTCGGCCTGGAGATTGACTCTGTAAAAGGTGAATGCAGACTGCCCGCGGACAAGCTACTTAAGCTTTGTCAGCTAGTGGACACAGCGTGGCATGCGAGAAAAGTGACTTTGCGAGGGCTGCAGTCGCTATTGGGGAGTCTTAATTTTGCATGCAGGGTGATTCCGATGGGCAGAGTTTTTTGTCGACGGCTGGCCCAGGCGACGAGCGGTGTGCGGTTGCCGAATCATTACGTGAAAGTTTCGGCGGATATGAGAGCGGACCTGGGGGTTTGGAAAAGGTTTCTAAGGGAATTTAACGGTATAGTGTTTTTTCGGGAGCCGGGAGTTTCCTCCAAGGACATAGGCTTGTTTACAGACGCCTCCGGGAGCGTGGGGTTTGGGGCTTATTTAGCGGGGCAATGGTGCGCCGAGGAGTGGCCGGCGGAGTGGAAGACGAGCTCGCTGATAAGGAACCTCGCGTTCCTAGAATTTTTCCCGGTGGTAGTAGCGGTGGCGTTATGGGGAAAGCAGCTCGCAAACAAAAAAGTAGTATTTTACTCAGATAACATGGCAGTGGTCCAGGTTATCAATGGGTTGTCGGCATCATCTCCTGCAGTGATACGGTTATTAAGGCACTTGGTACTTTTATGTATGTCTAGCAATATAGTGTTCAGTGCAAGGCATGTTCCAGGTTTCTTGAATGTAGTGGCTGACGCGCTTTCTCGTTCACAGTGGGAACGTTTTCAGGAAGCAGCGCCGGAGGCACAAGAGGAAGGTTTGGCATGTCCGGCAGAAATGTGGCAGCTCGGGACATCATGCTTGGGGAGTTCATAAAGAATTCCCTGGCACCGGGCACCTGGGCGGCATATGTGAAGGTTTGGCACGAATGGGAAGAGTCGGTGGCACAAGTGGGAGGGGACTGTTCAGAGGAACATCGGTTAGATATACTGTTATGGGTACTGTGTCGACTATTTTCCAGGAAGGCTTCACCAGCTATGGTTGACAGGCACATGTCGGCGTTGGCCTTCCTATTTAAGTTTAATGGATGGGAGGATATAACGAAACATTTCTTGGTCAGGCAAGCCATAAGAGGTTTTCGGAGGGGTAAGAAATCGGTGGATACGAGGAGGCCAGTGTCATTCGCGGTGCTGCAAGGACTAGTGGAGGTTCTACCGGCATTATGTTATTCCAAATATGAAGTTGTGTTGTTTTCCGGGGCGTTTGTCTGGGCATTCTTCGGGGCATTCCGTATTGGGGAGCTGCTTAGCACCAACAAAGCAGGGGTTGGTGGGATTCGGTTGGGGGATGTGACCATTGGTGAAGATAAGGTACAGGTCAAGTTGTGCCGCTCAAAGACGGACATATTCGGCAAAGGAAGCTTGGTAACATTGTTCAAATTGCCAGGGTCTAGGGTTTGCCCAGTGGCTTGTGGCGCCGAATTCTTGGAAGTCCGCCCCGAGAAGGAAGGCTGTTTCTTCATCCATGCTGACGGTAAGGCTTTGTCCCGTTTTCAGTTCGTTAAGATATTTCGTGCAGGATTGGGTAAGCTGGGCCTGGAACCCATGCATTTCGGGACACATTCGTTTAGAATTGGGGCCGCAACGGAGGTGGCTCGGTTAGGTCTGGGAGACGAGCGGATCAAACAGATAGGAAGATGGGAGTCCATTCGGTTCCGCTCATACGTTAGACCGGACAAGTTGGTGTAATAGGGGACTGGGGCGTTGTTTGTTAAGGGCTCTGCTGTTCACTGTTCTATTTCTTTTAGGTCGTTTGGTATGGCTGATCGGACATTCCTACGTTTATTGGGCGCGGAGGAGGGCCGCGATGAGAAGAGACGGAGCACAACTGGGCTTCCCGGTGGAGGCGGTGGTTCTCACTTGGTTGGGTTTCCGGGGTTTCGGTTGGCAGAGCATCAGTAAGGAACTATTCAATAG